TATTTATTCATTAAAACCATGTTTTTCTTTAATTCTTTGGACTTATTTGTAAAGCTTCTTTAAAGTCTTGGTTGGCTGAGTTCAATATTTGGATCATCTCAAGATATTTCATTTCTGTGTACCTCATTTTTTCTTGACTGTGGATCACATTTTGTTTCTTTGTATGTCTGAATGTTTTTTATTTAATATTGTACACTGTGAACAATACTTTGGATTCTGTCATCTTTCCCTGATGTATACAGATTCCTGTTTTAACAGGCAATGTATTCATAATTACTGGCTGATGACTTATACTTCTTCAGGCTTGGTTTTATGCTTTATTTTTACACTTTTGTGGACAGCCTAAAGTGTTTCCTAAGCCCTTCTAACTTGGTGAGACTCACTCTCTAAACTTTCCCTGTGGATTTTGTGATGGCTTGATTTTAGATTTTATTAGGGCAGACCTAGAGTAGGTCTAGAGTAGCCCTTGTCCTTATCCCTAGTTATAACCTTTCTGCTATCTGAACTGGATGCCAAGGATGCTGAAGATGTATTTATAAGATCTCTCTACTTTGGCAGAACCAGAACTCCTGTGGCAATGCTCTTATCCCAGGATTGCTCTAACTGTAGAATCTCTGTTCTAATATTAACACTTAGTACCCTGCTTTCTGGTAAGCCTCAGATGGCTTACTTTGTATTTATTAGAGTTCTCCAGAGAAACAGAACAGAGAGAGAGAGAGAGAGAAAGAGGCAGAGAGGGAGAGGGGGAGGGGGGAGAGAGGGAGAGAGGGGAGAGAGGAGAGAGGCAGGGGAGAGAGAGATTATTGTAAGGAATCAGCTCATGTGAGGGAGAGAGGGAGAGAGGGGAGAGAGGAGAGAGGCAGGGGAGAGAGAGATTATTGTAAGGAATCAGCTCATGTGATTTTGGAGGCTGTGAAGTCCCAAGATCCACAGTTGGCAAGCTGGAGACCCAGGAGATTGAGTGGTGTCCAATGATGTGAGTTCCAGTCCAAGTGTAAATGTGAGGACTGATGTCCCAGGTCAAGGACATTCAGGCAGAGAGAAAGAGAGAATTCTTTTTTTTTTTTGAGACAGAGTCTCACTGTGTTGCCCAGGCTAGAGTGCCATGGCGTCATCCTAGCTCACAGCAACCTCAAACTTCTGGGCTCAAGCGATCCTACTGCCTCAGCCTCCCTAGTAGCTCGGACTACAGGCATGCACCACCATGCCCCGCTAACTTTTTCTATGTATTTTTAGTTGTCCAGATAATTTCTTTTTATTTTTTATTTTTTTTAGTAGAGACGGGGTCTCGCTCTTGCTCAGGCTGGTCTCGAACTTCTGAGCTCAAACAATCCACCTGCCTCGGCCTCCCGGAGTGCTAGGATTACAGGCGTGAGCCACCGCGCCCGGCCAATAAGTTGCTTTTTTAAATACCAATTCTCTTTTTAAAAAATTGAGCTTTTTGTTATTGATTCTTTGGAGTTCCTTATAAATTCTAGTTACTAATCCTCTTCGGTTGTATGTGTTAAAATTGTTTTTTCCAGTCTTGGCTTCTTTTAGATGCATATGTTGTCTTTTCCCATACAGAAGTGTTAAATTTTAATGTAGTCGTGTTTATCTGTGTTTTACTAAATGATTTGTGCATTTTATATGTCCATCTCTTCATTCTCTAAACACAGGGGTGCCCCAGGGCTCAGTCTATGGACTTCTCCATTTACATTAATTCTTTTTTTTTTGAGACAGAGTCTCGCTTTATTGCCTGGGCTAGAGTGGGGCATCAGCCTAGCTCACAGCAACCTCAAACTCCTGGGCTCAAGCGATCCTCCTGCCTCAGCCGCCCAAGTAGCTGGGACTATAGGTTCTCGCTACCATGCCCAGCTAATTTTTTGTTTCTAATTTTAGTTGCCCAGCTAATTTTTCCTATTTTCAGTAGAGATGGGGTCTCGCTCTTGCTCAAGCTGGTCTTTTTTTTTTTTTTTTTTTTTTTTTTAGACAGAGTCTCACTGCGTTGCCCGGGCTAGAGTGCGGTGGCGTCATCCTAGCTCACAGCAACCTCAAACTCCTGGGCTCAAGCGATCCCCCTGCCTCAGCCTCCCGAGTAGCTGGGACTACAGGCATGCGCCACCATGCCCGGCTAATCTTTTCTATATATTTTTAGTTGTCCGATTAATTTCTTTCTAATTTTAGCAGAGACGGGGTCTCGCTTTTGCTCAGGCTGGTTTCGAACTCCTGAGCTCAAACAATCCGCCCGCCTCGGCCTCCCAGAGAGCTAGGATTACAGGCGTGAGCCACCGCGCCCGGCCCTCAGGCTGGTCTTGAACTCCCGCCTCGGCCTCCCAGAGTGCTAGGAGTATAGGTGTGAGGCACCATACCTGGCCTACATTAATTCTTAATAATCTTACTTAGTCTCATGGCATTTGTACACTGTAGCTCCTACACTGTAGCTCCTCCAGTCATATATGATAATTTAAAGGACTCTTGCTGAGTGATACTATGTTTCTTTTTCCTTTATTATCCACGTTTCTTGGGAGTCTGTAGTCACTTCCTCCATTTCCTCACTTTCCATTGTCTGTTGAACCCACTGCAGCTTGACTTTTGACCCACTATTCTACTGATAGTAATGACGTTTTTTCTTAAGCAACACAGCCCACTCCCTTTTCTTTTCAAATGAAGTCTTATGTGAAATCACAATATATTAAACAGAAGCAGAATTGCTTTGGGAATGGTTTGGGGAAGAGCTGAAATCCAAACTGCTTTCTTCTCATCTCTCTGAGTTGCTCCAGAGGTACTTAGCCCTGCCTACCTTAGTATTCCTACCTTACAATTCTTACCTTACTATTCCACTGAACACCCTTGTCTCCAGCTATACTGAACTCTTTGGAGATTCTTACGTTGTCATCCTTTCCATCTCTGTGCTTCTGCATAGTGCTTCTTTCACCTGCCTTGAACCTGCTTTAACCAGTTCTCTCAGCTCCAGTAGCACCTCCTAGCCTAACTTCACCTTCATCATTCCTTCTCTTTTCGTGCCTGTTATCACACTTACCACACTGAATTGCAACTTTCTATTTACACCTTTCTTCCCTACTAAACAGAGCTTCTAAAGATTAGAGACGCTGCATTTCCCCCCCTTAATCTCTTTATATCAATGTTACATGGAATGAACAAATGAATGAATGAATGGCTGAGGAAGCTGAGCTAAGCCAAAGTCAGGATTGGCAGACTACCAGGTTTTCTTGTAACAGCTTTATTAAGATGTAACTCATCTACCATACAATTCATAGGGTTGTGCAACTGTCACTGCAATCTAATTTTAAAACACTTTTGTCCTGCCCCCCAAAAAACCTGTGACCATTAGCAGTCGCTCTCTATTCCCCACCCTCCAATGCACTCCAGCCTTAAGCAACCACTCATCTACTTTCTCTGACAGCTAAATTTAACATAGGTAAATTGATCACAAATCCTTAAAATCTACCCCAATATCTGGACCATGATGTGAAATTTGGAAGGTAATTGTCCCACGTTATCAATTTGTACTGCAGAGACTCAAATTTGGGGCCTGGGCTGGGAACAGAGGCTCACATCTGTAATCCCTGTGATCCAAAACTTTGGGAGGCTGAGGTGGGAGGACTGCTTGAGGCCAGGAGTTTTAGACCAGCCTAGGCAAATAGTGAGACCCCGTCTCTACAAAAAATAAGAAAAATCAACCGGGTGTGTTGGTGCACGCCTGTAGTCCCAGCTACTTGAGAAGCCGAGGCAGGAGGATCGCTTGAACCCAGGAGTTCAGGCTGCAGTGAGCCTGCACTGCACTCCAGCCTGGGCAACAGAGCGAGACCCTGACTCTTAAAAAAACAAAAATTTGGAGGCCTGAAACACAAGCAGGTTTAATTCGCAATTTATTAGAGCTAGATCCACATTTAACAAGGGTGGTTAATTTGGTCTTGCTTTTCACTGTTGCTGTTGAAGTTAACCTCCCTTTAGCTGTTTATACTTTGGGAAAAAACAGTATCTGAAAAAACTAAGGGCCGCTGATAGCATTTGTGAAAAGGGCCTAATAACAGGCTGTGCTGGAGGGGAGGTTAGCCCCTATAAAATATCACGGATTAAGAATTACATGAGTAGTAGCTCTCTGGTGCTTTTATTTTTAACGCGATTCTTTCACAGGACCGCCTCCGGATGGGTGCCGCGCGTGTAGCCACGCGGGAAACTTCAACTATCAGCACTGGGCGTCTAAAGCGCGCAGCATTTTCCAAACGAGGATGGTCTCAGGCGTTGCCGGGCAGTAGCGTTTTCCCTCGCGGTCGCCGCGCCCAGTCGCGCGCGCAGTGACGTACGCGGCGCGCGATGACGCAGCGCGCGGCGCGGTGCACGCTGGGATATTTAAGTCTTCTCCGCGGCGCGGAGCCGCGATGTCTCCGGCGGCTGCGGCGGCTGGAGGAGGCGAGCGGCGGCGGCCCATAGCGAGTGTCAGGGCCGGCCGAGGCCGGGGCGGGGGCTGCGGCGGGCCGGCCGGGGCGGCGCTCCTCGGCCTGTCGCTGCTCGGCCTCGTGCTGTACCTGGTGCCAGCGGTGGCTGCGCTGGCCTGGCTGGCCGTGGGGGCTACCGCGGCCTGGTGGGGACTGAGCCCCGAGCCCCGAGGTTCGCGCGCCTTGTCCTCGCTCGTTCGGAACGCGCGGCGTCGGCGAACACTGCTCGCTTCGCCTCCGACCAAGTCCGCAGTAAACGGAAATCTTCTAGAGCCGCGAACCCTACTCGAAGGACCTGACCCTGCTGAACTGCTCCTCATGGGCAGTTACCTGGGCAAACCTGGCCCCCCGCAGCCTGCCCCCGCTCAGGAGGGCAGGGACCTGCGAGAGAGGCTTGGCCGCCGCCCACCCGCCCGTCTCGCCCGTCCTGCCCCTCCCACCCCTCCAACCCATCGTGTCCACCACGTTTACCCCTCTCTCCCCACTCCTTTTCTCCGATCCTCTAGGAGGCCTTCCCACAGGTAAGATACACTGATCTTCGCAGATCCTCCTCTGGATAGACTGGCTTTAAATTGAGGGCTTGACTTTTAAATCGTTTTTCTTTTTCATCACATCCAAAGTGGATTCTGTGTGGTTTTGTCCTCTTTGACAAAACCTTGGTGTGTCAGCCGTCTCTTGCCCTCCTCTAACTCTCGAAATAAGATATTGTGTTGCCAAAGTTATTCGCTTCCAATTTTTAAAACAGCCTGAATTTTAGTGCAGTCTAATTTAGTGGAATACATAATAAGCCATTAAAATGTCTCTGGTTGAAAACATCATTTAGTTGTGTAGTATGTTTGTTTATATTTTTGTCTTTGGACCAGTAAAAGAAATTTTATCAATAGCACTGTAGCCTGGGCAACAGAGCAAGACCCTGCCTCAAAAAAAAAAAAAAAGAAATTGTATCACTTAGCAGAGCTCAAAGAGGTTGTCAGAAAACACCTCTTTGATTGATAAAGCTGATAAAAGAAAATTGTTTTAAGAGACAGGGTCTCACTCTATTGCCTGGACTGGATTGCAGTGTTGGGATAATAGCTCACTGTAATCTTGAATTCCTGGGCTCAAGGGATCCTCCCACCTCAGCCTCTGCTGTAGCTAGGACTACAGACACATGCCACCCACACAGGGAAAATTTTTTTCCTTTTTTTAAGAGGTAGGGTCTTCCTATGTTGCCCATACTGGTCTTGAATTACTGGCCTTGAGGCGTCCCCCAAAGAGCTGGGATTGCAGGCATGAGCCGCTGTGCCCAGCCAAGCTGATCAAATTAAAGAGACTTTTTTTTTTTTTTTGAGACAGAGTTTGGCTCTATCATCCGAGCTAGAGTACAGTGGCATCATCATAACTCACTGCAACCTCAAACTCCTGGGCTGAAGTGACCCTCTTGCTTCAGCTTCCCAAGTAGCGGGGACTACAGGGCACACCATCTCGCCCTGCCAGTTTTTCTGTTTTTTGTAGAGATGGGTTCTTGCTCTTGCTCAGGCTGATCTCAAACTCCTGGCCTCAAGCAATCCTCCTACCGCAGCCTCCCGGAGTGCTAGGATTAGAGGCGTGAGCCACCGAACCTTTAGTCCCAAAAGCTGAATGATAAAAGAGAATACAAAAAATTTGGTGCAGATGTCAGATTTCTGATAAATACATTTAGTTCAGAAGATGGACTAGGTGTTAAAAATGTTTGGCTTTTGGTGCATATTACTGATGATTTAGCGTAAAGGATCGAAGGATTCTTGAAAAGTTCCTCTGTGCACACCCTAACAACACATACTTTTTTTCCTTTGTAGTTTTAGTTGCGTGGGCAGGGTTTTCAATTTCCCTCTGAAATTGTTGAAGTCCGTTATAGAGACAACTGTTAAGCAGCTGTCATTCTCTGCCCTTAGATGGAATAGGGGGAAGTTGCCATAAAAATAACTGTTCTGTTGCTTAGAAGGAGATTTAAGCTCTCTGTGGGATGTCTGAACTCGTGTGGTTCTTTAGCCATTTAAGTTTTCTGACATTCTTTGGTGCTTCTTTGGTTCCATGACGTGTCTCCGATTCCCTGCAGGGATTGTGGGACTTTATCAAATCGGTTTGTAATAACACCTCGAAGACGGTATCCGATCCAGCAGGCCCAATATTCCTTTCTGGGGGTACTTCCCACAGTGTGCTGGAATGGTTGTCAAAAGAAGACTGTATTATCTGTTCGTAATTCCAAGATGGTGTGTAGCCCAGTGACTGTGAGGATTGCCCCTCCCGACAGCAAATTGACTCGTCCCACAATGTGAGTATTATTGGAAGAATACTATCCCTTTTGTGTCCACTTCATTCTTCTACATTTGTTCCTCTGACAGAGCAACTATAAAGCAAAAAAAAAAAAGGAAGTAGCAGCTTATTTGAATGAGAAGTCCCAAACTCTAGTAAAACCTTCTATTTTTCGTGTTTTGCCCTTGACAGTAGCTTTAATTGCTAAGAGCAGTTTCTGTGAGTCTAAATTATGCTTTTGCCTGTTGGTTAGCTTCTGATTTTCAGTGACTTGAGTCTGTGCTACATGGCATGGTAATTAAAATATCTTACTGCTAGAGTCTTGTCTTTCATTACAGACCAGAGCAGATAATCAGCTCAACGCTATCGTCACCGTCAAGTAGTGCCCCAGACCCATGTGCAAAGGAGACTGTCCTGAGTGCCCTCAAAGAGAGGAAGAAAAGGACAGTGGAGGAAGAAGACCAAATATTTGCTGATAGCCAGGAAAATAAAAGAAGGTAACAGGCCCAGTAGAGTACTAAACAGGCCTCCCAAGTGGACTCCTGAGAATTTGTTGAAATACAGAGCATTCTCATAAAGATACAGAGGCCAACTCCAGTTTGTGAGCCTTAATAGGTCCCCTTCTTTGACTTTCGTGAAAGAGCCTGGTAATAAGGGCTTCAATGCTGTGCATTTCCTAAGGCACAGGTTAGATACATTTTATAATTTATGTTTTTCTTAAGTACTCTCTAGAGAGAAGCTGACAACTATTAGCCATGTTACCCTCTACTTTTGATACAGATGTTTTAAATTTTATTTTCACATTTGAATACTCAAAGTCTTCCCTTCACATTTTGTGTTGTTCAATTATTTGGGTAACCACCAGTTTAAATGTCATAATTGTGCCGAAGGAAATACTTGTCAAAGAAAAGTGAAAACTAGAGTATGGTAGAGTTACCAGTAATGAGAGTAAAACCAATTTCCTTATTTGGCTTATATGGTAACTTAATGAAAATGGAGTAAACAATTTCCTAAGTGTGGAAGGAGAGAACGTTTAAGAGGTTAATTCGGATATAGGACTATTTGTGGCTTTTCAAGGAGTCAGTTAAAGATTCCACTCATTTTTTAATTCAGCAAATATTTACTGAGCACCCGCTGTGTGCCAGACCCTGTTCCAAATACTGTGGATAGAGCAGTGAACAAGACAAAATCCCTGCTCTTGTGGAATTTTTTTGAGGAAGTCATGTCATTTATTGAGAATTTTTTTATTTATCACAGGCGCCATGATAGCAGTGGGAGTGGACATTCAGCATTTGAGCCCCTTGTGGCCAATGGAGTCCCCGCTTCTTTTGTGCCTAAGTAAGTCAGAATCCATGTGGATAAAATATCAACTACTTGGAAAATGGAATTATTAGAGTGATTGCCCTACAGATTTTCCTCTTTGCTTTTTGTATCACTTAATTCAGGTTCACATCTTTGAAATCAGGGAGGAATATTTTGAGTAACTTCCCACAATTAACTATCTTCTGTCCAGTTCCTTTTAATATTTTAGCATTAATATGGGTGAAATATGCTAAGGCCAAGAGGATTTGTAAATATATTTGATAACCAAATATATAAACAGAAAGAGTGTAAGGTTCGTGCAAAGGATAAAATACAGTGATATGAAATTTAAGATAAATGTAAAGTTTCAATATTTGAGTTTAAAAATACTTTGGAGTATTTGTCAGAGTAAGAATTGAATAGAAAGGAAAATGGCTTAGTAGTTTGTGTGAAAAGACTTAAGGATAGCTTATATGCTTAATTTGAGTCAGCAGTATGATGTGGCTGCCAGAAACGCTAACACGCTCCTAGTCTGTGCTGTTAGAAGAAAGACTAGAACGAGGTGGGTGGGTGGTAGTCCTGCTTTTCTTAGTTTTGCTCAGAGTGTTCATGGAGTGTTGTGTTGAGTTTGGCATACTGCACCACAAGAGAGGATGTACGCAAACTGAAATTGAAGTGAAGCATCGAAGATGTTAAGGAGATTTGCAGCAGCTGCAAGGGGAAGTGGTGGTGGTGGGTGAAGGGGATTTGGGAGGTGTACAAGTACTAGCCCAGAGGAGGCAAATCTCAAGGGGAATAAGGAAATGAGGGAGGATAATGGTCCCCCAAAAAACTGAAGGACTGTCACATGAAAGAGGCAAAATAACTTGTTTGGTTTGGCTTTAGATAGGATTCATGGATGAAAGTTAGAGGAAATACATTTAAATAAGAATAAACAGGTTTATGGTTGACGTGCATCACTGTAAGAGATACCAAGTCGTCTACATTGTAACTGAAGTTGGACAACTCTCCCACAAGAAAGATATATAGGGAATCTGTTTCAGTTGGAGGCTTAGAAAAAATGGTTGGTTCCTCTTAACTCGATTTTTTTTAACAGCATTATTGAAGTATAATTGATGTACAATAAACTACCTGTTTAAAGTGTGTATGTTTTGACATGTATACACCTGTGAAACCATTACCACCATAAAGATAGTAAACACATCATCACCTCCAAAAGTTCCCTCATGGCCTCCCTGTATCCTCCCTCCAGTCCTGTCCCGGTCCCCAGGCATCCACTACTCTGCTGTCTGTCACTGTAGATTAATGTGCTTTCTCTAGACTGTTATACAAATGGAATCATGTATTTAAGTTTTAAATATTTGGCATTCCCTACTGACTTTGTCAGATCGATTTAGCAGCAGAAATTACGAGCATTATCTTCTTTTTTTCATGTTTATTAAGAAAGGTGTCAAGAAATTAATCGGACAGCTGAAAATATATAGAAAAAAAATTAGCCGGGCATGGTGGCGTGTCCCAGCTACCCGGGAGGCTGAGGCAGGAGGATCGCTTGAGCCCAGGAGTTTGAGGTTGCTGTGAGCTATGATGATGCCGCTGCACTCTAGCCCGGGCAAGACAGTGAGACTCTGTCTCAAAAAAAAAAAAAAAAAAGGTGTCATGACCATGGAAGAAACCTTAAAAGAGTGTTGCCGTCAGTAGTACATCTAACTATCTTCTTTTTATTAGGCCTGGGTCTCTGAAGAGAGGCCTCAATTCCCAGAGCTCAGAGGACCACGTGAATAAGAGGTCCCGTACCTCTTCTGTGAGCTCCTTGGCAAGCGCATACACAGGTGGCATCCCTAGCTGCAGTCGCAATGCCATTACCAGTTCCTACAGCTCTACTCGAGGCTTCTCACAGGTACAGCTCTTGTAGTGTGGGGGAAGTGGGTTCCCAGCATTAATTAATTGATGTTTATCACCTTCTGTCTGTCAGAAATTAGGATTGCCTCTAAGCTAAGAGGCAAACACTTGAGTGATAATATAGACCAATGGAACAGAATAGAAAGCCCAGAAAGTAAACCAGTGCATATGTGGAATCCTGATACAAGATAAAGCTATTAATTTCAGATAAATGGATGAAAGATAAACAATTCAATATAGTATTAATGGGATTGAAAAGGTAGATTGAGTCTGGATTGCATTGTGAGTCATCAAAGAGATTTATGCTATAGGCATTTAGAATGTAGTGAAAGTTTCTTAAACAAGAAGTGGTCCTAATTCTGTTTTAGGAAGAGGATTGGAGTATTATTGTATAGGGAACAGAGCAGGCTTTGCTGCCAGACAGACTTGGGTTCAAATCGTGGCTCTGACACTTAGTAGTTGTAGGGTCTTGGGCAGGCAAATCACTTAACCTCTCTTTTTCGCATCTCTGAAGGATCATTGTAATGATTAAAGGTAATGTTTGAAAAGCACCCATTACATGCCTGTCAGTAAGTGGGTACCCAGTACATAGTAGCTAGAAAAAAAGAAAAAGCATATATGGAGAAAGATTTCTGAGAGGAGAAAATTTTGAGACAAGTTCATCAGCCCAGAAGCTCTGACAATAATATAAATGAAAGGTGAAGGCTGAGCCAGAGTAGTTGTGGGAATGAAAAAAAAAAGATAATAATAATAACCTTTACTTTGAACACTTATTCTATGTTAGGCCCTATGTTAAGCATTTTACATGAATTTCCTCATTTATCATCACAATAGCCCTATTAAGTACACACTTATAATTCCTATTTTTAAAATCTTTTTATTATGTAAAATTTCAAATGTACACAAAAGGAGAGAAAATATAATGAACCTCCATGTAGCTTCTGTAGTTAACTGCATTTCATTAGTCCTGTTCCATCAATTCTCTCAATTTGTTTTTGCTTGAGTTTTTATTTATTTTTTTGTTATTATTGTTATTACTTTTTTAAATAGAGATGGGGTCTTCCTCTTGCTCAGGCTGGTCTTGAACTCCTGAGCTCAAGCAATCCTCCCGCCTTGGCCCCTCAAAGTGCTAGGATTACAGGCGTGAGCCACCGCGCGCTACCTGCTCTGTGTTTTAAAGCAAATTGCAAACATTTCATTTCATTTACAGGTACTTCATTGTATTTTTAACTGTTGAGACTTTTTTAAAACATTAATAACCACAATATTACTATCTTTCTTAAATAATAACTCTTTAATATTAGTTAATATCACTGTTGTTTTTTTTTTTAAGAGATAGGGTCTTGCTCTGTTGCCCAGGCTGGAGTGCAGTGCCACAATCATAGCTCACTGCAACCTGGAACTTCTGGGCTTGAACAATCTCCCACTTTAGCCTCCCGAGTAGCTGGGACTACAGATGTGATCCACCATGCCCAGCTAATTTTTTTATTTTTTATTCTTTTAGAGATGGGGGGTCTCACTATGTTGCCCAGGCTCACTCCATGTTTAAATTGCCCTTATTACCCAAAACTACTTTGAATCAGGAGCCAAAAATCAATTCATTGCATTTGGTTGATAAATCTCTTAGGCGTTTCTAATCTATAATACTTCTTTCTGTTCTTCGTGCTTTTGAAAAAATAGATCATTTTCTTCTGTAGAATTTCCTCACATTCTGGAATTAGTTTGCATCATCATGGTGTCAATTTAAGATGTACTTTATCCATGTAAATGGATACTGTTTTCCATGTAAATGGTTTTTTGGATCCTTAAATTTGATTAGATTCAAATTCAATTATTTTGGCAGAATACTTCATAGGTGGTGCTGTGTGTTTCCTTTTGTATCACATCAGGATGCAAATAATATCTGGTTTCCCAATTTCTGTGATACGAATATTGATCACTTGATGCAGGTGTTGTCATTCCTATTCATTCATTTCAATATTTCTGTGACCTTTCCACCTGATGACTTTATCAGCCATTTACCTAGATCTACTATTAAAATAGATTGCAAATGGTGATACTCTAATACTCTTGTGCCCTCTGCACTTATAAAATTTCATTTTATATAGAAGAACAGGCCCTTCCCAGAGGAATGACAAGATAATAAGGCTTGATGCCATAGCTAAGGCCAAAGGTGACCAGTGAGGTTTTTGCTGTTGCTGTCTTCATGAACTTCTGAGTTTTTGTGAACATTTCATGGTTTTTCAATACATTGTAGTTGTTATTTTTGATGCACAAACTTTTCCTACTTTGGCCTGTGGGAGCCCTTTTAAACTATCACATGTATCCTTTTGTTTTGACCCCAGCAGTCTTTGATAGAAAGCTTGGTGGTTCCCCCCCGCCAGGAATTTGAAATCTGAATATTTCAAATTCAGATTTACATCAGCCAAATTTTTTACATAATTTCTTTGATTTTACATTTTTATATATTCTTACACAAAAAATGTTGGTCCATAGTTACTTATTTGATTGATCCTAGTACAGACGATTTCAAAATAACATCATCAGTGTCATTATTAACAGTAAGACTTCTGAAGTCAGTTTAAGAATTATTCGTGATTCATTTTGTCTTTAGTATATATCCTTCTATGAATACTGGGGATATACAATCAAAATATTGTGTTTTAAAGTAATGCGAATTAATTGTTAGTTGGTTACATCACCAGCTTTATATATAGTAAGGTTCATTTGTTCAAGATGTTTGAAAGTTTTGGGGATTTCTATGTTTTTTCTTTTGGAAATAGTTTTGTTTTTATGTAAAATACTTAAATTGTTCCAAAGATCATATACTAAGACAAGAAACACTCGAGAAATCCAGTTTCCATCCCTTTCCTCTTCACATTGTTCCCTTCCTCTCCATTTTGTTACTTTTTATCTTTCATTTTTTTTAAACTATATGCAAAAAATAGGTTCCTAGAAGTCAAGTTTCCCAGGTCAGAGGTTAAATGCATGTGTAATTTTGCTAGACATTGTTAAATCCCCCTCTACAGAATGCGAACCATTTAGCATTCCCATCAGCATTGTATGAGAGGGATTATTTTTCCACATCCTCACGAATAGATGAGGTTGTCGTAACTTTGGATTTTCACCAATTTTACAAGTGAAGAGTAGTATCTAAGTATCTAATTTGGTCTCTTACGAATAAGTTTGATCATGTGTTCATATGTTAATGATTATTTTCTGGTCCGTTTCCATGACTGTTCATATCTTTTGCCCATTTTTTGAAGAGCTGCTGGTCTTTTTTCTTCTCAAATTCAAGAGTTTTTCCTATGTTAGAGAAACCTATTCCAAATGAACTAAAGTTTTAAACATAAGGTAGAAACCATATAAGTACAGTATTAGAGGAAATAAGCTTCTCATGCATTGCTGCTGGGAGCTTCAGTTGGTACAGTTCTAGAAGGCTGTGCGGCAGGAGTTGTCAACACATGCACATGCTCTTTGATTCAGCAGCTGCACATACACTCAAAGACATGTACAAACATTTGGCTGTAGCATTATTTTAATAGCAGAAGCTTGGAAACAATGTAAATGTATCTTTTCAGGGGAGCTGGCTGAATAACTAACTTACAGTAATTCTGTAAGTTGAAATACTATGTAACTATTTAAAAGACTAAGCCAGGCCCTCACCACCTATAATAGCTCAGGAGTTTGCAAGAGTGAGACCCCGTCTTTAAAAAAAAAAAAAAAAATGCTAAGGCAGCTTAGTAATAGAAACTTGTGAACAATCTCAAAAATACATAAAAAACAAGGTGCAGAACTGTGTATGGAGTTCTCTATTATTTGGGCTCCTAGTGTCTTTAATCTTTTAATATGCATAGAATAATTCTGACAGGATATATTAGAAACTGGTAATAATTACTGAGATAAAAGGGAAGTTTACTTTTTACTATATACTCTTGTAATCTATAACATGCAAGTGTTACCTTTCCTGGTTTCAGGTTTTTTTTTTTTTAAGTAGAAAAAAAGATTCCCGTGTCCTGGCCCAGTCTCCATCCCATAGGTACCTATTGTTGCATTCTTACTGTCTGTGCAAATACAGATAATACACGGAATTTTTGGGCTGTTCTACAAAATGGGATCACAGCATTTGTGCTTTTTAAAAACCATTACCTTTTCTCTTTAGCCATTATGTCTTGCAGAGCCTTCCATGTCATGTAATCTACCTTACTCTTTACATGGCCTTTTTAAATTAGAGCATAATACATAGAAAAACACAAATCATAACTACAGCTCCATGTAACCAGGTCAAGTAGTAAAACATTTTCAGTACCCGGAAGCCCCCCTCGCACCTGCTCCTCATCACTACTCCTTTCCTCCATCCTTCCTGAATATTAGCACCATATATAGTTTTTCCTGTTTTGAATTTTATAATATATAAATGGAAACATAGAGTATTCATTCTTTGCTGTTGACTTCTTTCACTCAATATTTTACTTGTGACATTTGTCCACGTCGTTGCATGTGGCAGTGAATAATTCATTTTCATTGCTGTATACTGCCATAATATGAATATACCACAATTAATTTATCCATTCTACTATCGGACATTTGGGTTTCCAGTTTGGGGCTATTCTGCATAATACTGCTATGGACAATTGTGTAAGTCTTTTGGTACACACATAGAAAGTATACGTATGTTCATTTTTAGTAGATGTTGCTGAATAATTTTTTAAAGTGAGTGTTTCAGTTTATACTTCTAGAAGTAGTATTAATATATGAGATTTTTGTTTCTGTTGTTTCACATCCTCACTAATGCTTGGTGTTGCCAGTCTCATCAGTGATTCTGGTGGGTGTGAAGTAATATTTCAGTGTGGTTTTAATTTAATCAGGTTTCCCTGATTACTAATTAGACAGAAATAAGATCTTTTTATTGGCTATTTGTATATCCTCTTTTATGAAATGCCTGTTCAAGTTTCTTGGCTCTTTTCTGTTAAGTTGTCTTTTTCTTAGTGATTTGAATAAGTTATTTATATATTCTAGATATGAGCCCTCTGTCAATGAGGTTTTGCAGCAAGTGTCCTACTCTGTGTCTTGCCATTTTACTCTCTTATGGTTAGTATACTTTGTGTACTGTTTGAGAGCTACCTAAGGTCATGATTTTTTCCTGTACTACCTTCTAGAAGCTTTATTATTTTACTTTTCATACACAGATCTATAATCCACCTGAAATTGATTTTTGTGTGTGGTGTGAGGTAGGGATCAAAATTAGTATTTTTTTTTTTTTTTAACCATAGAAATATTCATTTCTTAGCCGGGCATGGTGGCTCACACCTGTAATCCTAGCACTTTGGGAAGCCAAAGCAGGGAGGATTGCTTGACTTCAGGAGTTCAAGACCAGCCTGAGCAAGAGTGAGACCCTGTCTCTACTAAAAATAGAAAAATTAGCTGGGTGGGCTGGCATGTGCCTATAGTCCCAGCTACTCCAGAGGCTGAGGCAGGAGGATCACTTGAGCCCAGGAGTTTGAGGTTGCTGTGAGCTAGGCTGACACAACAGCACTCTAGCCCAGGCAACAGAGTGAGACTCTGTCTCAAAAAAAAAAAAATTAAAAAGTCCATTTCTCTAGTAGCATTTATTGAAAGGACTGTCCTTTCCCTATTTCTCTATAGCACCACCTTTGTCATAATTTAAGTGTCCATATGTATGTTGTGGGCTCATTTCTAGATTCTGTTCTGTTCCGTCGGTCTGTTTTTCTACCCTTGTGCCAGTCTTTTTTTTCCTGCCCTGTACTTGGTATTTAGTAGAATAAGTCGTCCCACTTTCTCATTCCTCTTCAAGATTGTCTTAGACCTCGGCCCTTCGCATTTTCATGCACTTTTTAGATCAACTTGTCAATTTCCACCAAAAAAAAAAAAAAACAAACACTTGTTGAAACATTGATTGGGACTGCCTTTAATCTACTGATGATTATTTTGGATAGAATTGACATTTTAATAATATTGAGTCTTCCAATCTATGAATATGGAATATCCTTCATTTATTTATGTCATCTCTAATTTCTTTGTATAGAGGTTTTATTTCTCTTTTATTAGATTTATTCCCAGGTATATTTTTTTTTTTTTGAGACAGAGTCTCGCTTTGTTGCCCTGGCTAAAGTGAGTGCCGTGGCGTCAGCCTAGCTCACAGCAACCTCAAATTCCTGGGCTCAAGCAATTCTTCTGCCTCAGCCTCCTGAGTAGCTGGGACTACAGGCATGCGCCACCATGCCTGGTTAATTTTTTCTATATATATATATTTTTAGTTGTCCAGATCATTTCTTTCTATTTTTTGGTAGAGATGGGGTCTCGCTCTTGCTCAGGCTGGCCTCGAATGCCTGACCTTGAGCAATCCACCTGCCTCGGCCTCCCAGAGTGCTAGGATTACAGGCATGAGCCATAGGTATATGTTTTTGATGCTGCTGTAAATAGTATCTTTAAACTCTGGTTGTCTATTGCTGGTGTGTGGAAATACAACTGATTTTGTAGTCAGAAAGTTTGCTAAATTCTGAATATTTCTATATTCTTCAGGATTTTTGTATATACGATCATGTTGTCTATCGTGATGACAGTTTTTTCCTTTTCTTTCCGATCTTATACTGTTTGTTCGTTTATGCCTTATTGCATTTGGCTAGGACTGAGTATTAACGTTGAATAGAAGTGACAGCAAACATCCTTTTCTTTGTTACATCTGGAATGTGTGTTTACGTGTAGTCAGTGAAGTAGAGATACAACACTGTTTTTTGCTAATTGTGGAACCAAGTTGTGCTCCACCCTGGCTAAACTTTAAAGTCACCTCTGGCATTTCTGACCCTTACTTGCTAAGGTATGTGGAGCCTTCAGTGTCCAGGGCACTTTATTTAAAAATGCAAGGCCCAGACACTTACGTTCTTTTACAGTTCCACAGTTGACAGATGAGCAGTCGTGTGTGAGAACCAGTGAGGTGGCATTAGGGATTTGAAGGAATTGAAAATGGCCATATATGTATTCATACATCAGTATATATTCATTCATTCCTTGGATCACTTCAATGGATTTTTCTATTCTTTCGTGTCCCTATAATCCCATATTTTTTAAACCATTGTGCTCTGGCCTTTCCAAATGACTGTCTTTTCTTGTTTCTTGTTCTTTTTCTGAGCATAACTTTAAAAACTTATTGATGTGATCATTTTTCTTCTGAAGGTCATTCTGGGCCTTGGGTTTCCTGATGTTAGTCTTTTATTTAAGTCCCTCTTTTCTTCTTTTGAACTCTTATTAAACATTGTTGTCTTCCTGTTTGTACTTATGTGACACAACTGTTACTGGGTAAGAAATCATTAGAAGCTTTTCAAGTAGGAAAAAAAGGGTGTTAGGTGTAATAGTTCAGTATCTTTGTAATCAGGTTCAACCCTTACAAGAATAATTGCAGTGTTTGCTCTACAACAGTTACTTAGCTGCCTTTGAAGGAGGCAGAGAAGAAAACACCATCTTTGCTGTCAGAGACTTGCCTGGTAGAAGGGACAGATGTATGGATAATTGTCACATAATAATAAATGCCATAAGTGTTGCAAAAGTCATAAATGCCATGACAGCGTATTTTAAAAAATTAATTTAGTAAATTAAAACTGAAAATTTAATGAAAGTAAGACTAAGTTAGTTTACTGGCTTATCTTCACTGGGACAGTTTCTTAATTTACTTTTATCCTTTCCATAGACAGTCTATAGTAGGCTTGTATGCAGCATAGCTCTACCGTTCCTGAATGCAACATCCTACTTTTTAATATACGCAAAAGTGCATTCATTCCTTCTACATTTGTTAGGTAGCATTCCATTACTTTTCTAGACTCCTTTTTTTCTTTTTTTGCTTCCATAATTATTAATAATACTGGCAATTGACTTTCCTTTCAGGGATCTTTTTTCACAAAGAAATATGTTATTAGTCACGTAAAAAAAGGCTTTTGTACACAATGATGTATAGAACCACTAAGTTAGGTTGAGGGTCAGATGCTAAATTATCAACTGGCTTGGCTTAGTCATGTCGCTCTTGGTTTGGCTTTTAGCTCTGGAAGAGAAGTGGCCCCAGTTCATCACCCTTCTCTAGCCCGGCCTCATCCCGCTCCCAGACACCGGAGAGGCCAGCAAAGAAAATAAGGTAATGAGCATTCTCCTGCAGTTATCACTTGCTGTATCGACAAATGAGAGGTGAGGAAAAGAGGAAAATGTATTCAGCTCTTAGGCTTTGTTCTCCCCTGACTTGGAGAAGCAAAGAAATCAAGTCCCGGGAGAAGGACAGTGAAGTACCCACCTGAATTGCTCTCATCTCTCATAGTCCTATGGCTGTCCGCCTCTTGCCCCAGTGTGAGGGGTCAGGGTGCAAGAGCAGAGACCACCCAGGGTGGAGCGCAGGGAGAGAGTTGTGGCAATGGGCAGGAGCCTTCAGGTTCTTGACTCTAGCCGACCCCGTAGGTCCTTATAGTTGGCTGGAACTCCACTCCCTCAGGAGCTGTGTCTAGAGCTCCCAGGAACCTGGCAGGTTGTAAGTAAAGTTTTGAAGATTCTTGTTTTGTGGTTGTTTTACAACAAAGGTTTCTCCGTGGCCTCCATGAGCTGCCTCCCTTCTTTTCTGTAGGAATTTTCTTTTGACTTTTTTTTTTTTTTTTATCCCAACATACTGAGATTGTAAATCATGGTCCTCCTAAGCATTGGCCACTTGGTAATTCCAGGAGTATAAGAAGTTACTCAGTACTTTGGTCAGGAAATCTTTCTAAATTAAATTCTGTCTTTTCTCCCAGTAGAGAAGAGGAGCTTTGTCATCATTCCAGTTCTTCAACTCCATTGGTGACAGACAAGGAGTCCCAGGGAGAAAGGGGTAGGTTGCTGAGCCAGCAGGAGTGGCTGGTAGTGGTGCTGATGCAAGTGTTTATGGAGGATGTTTAGATTAATACCTATTGAGAAAACATATTGCACATTACTTTGTCTGGGGCATGGTAGCTACAGAGAGGTTTCCTGTCCTTCAGAGGTTTATAGTCTGATAAGCGAGAAAGGTAATGCAGACAAATACAGTAAAAGCAATAACTGCTGGATAGAGATGAGCTCAGTTTGAGGCATCATGGACAATCGAGGTAATTACTGTCCAGTAAACAGTTGTATGTACAACGTTGGAGCAGTTGTCTCTTTAAATCCTCTCAACTATTAGAAATAATCTTGCAAACACCATCCAAGTGCCCAAACCATGGAAGATAGAATCTTTTCAGAGATACCCAGAGAAACTCAATGTTAAGAACCAAGTTGGTAGACAAAATTATCCATTTCTGGAAGAGGGAAGAACACAAACAAGTCTAGATTTCTTTCTTTAGTTGTAGATACAACCACATGGAAGAAACAGAACTCCTGGAATTCCCCATCTACACCTGGCAGCTCTGGGCAGCGAAAGCGGAAGATTCAGCTGCTGCCCTCCAGGCGAGGGGAACAGCTGACGTTGGTACGGTCTTGTCCATCTACTCCTGCCCACCCCAGCTTTGCTGTTCTGAGTCTCAGGAAGGCTAAGTACAGGTTTCTTGCAGTTTCTTCTGATTGACCTGAATCTTTATCTCTTTGGTAGCCTCCACCTCCTCAGCTTGGCTATTCAATCACTGCCGAAGACCTCGACTTAGAAAAGAAAGCTTCATTACAGTGGTTCAACAAGGTTTTGGAGGACAAGACCGGTAAGGAGTACAGACCAATTGCCCACTCCAGAGAGGTTTAAAGTATTTCTTGCCTCTGGTTATTTTGGTGTCTTTTTTTAAAATGAGTTTCTCCGGAAAGACCCCAGGAAGAGTTCATGTTTTCTCACTCGAGAAATTCATTTGGGCCTTCACTGAAACTGGGCAACCATGGACATTGCGCTGGAGGGGAGGCATTCCTAGATGAGTTGTCCTGCCACCCCGAGCATCCCCTGCTCTCTGGTAGGCCATCTGGAGAGAAGTCTCATACAAGCCAGGGCAGTTTTATCTTTTCTTTCTTCCTCAGATGCTGCCTCAACCTCCATCACTGAGACCCCACCAACCACCACTCAGCCTTCGTTTACTTTTACCCTGCCTGCTGCGGGGACTGCCTCCTCCCTAGCCTCCGTCCCGGCCCCAAGCACCAACCCGCTGTTAGAGAGCTTGAAGAAAATGCAGAATTCCCCAGGCCTCCCATCCTTCACAGGTGAGTGGGAGAGGTGCCCTTGGAGCATCAACCTTTGCTTAGGTTGAAGGAAAAGCATCGTGCCTATCAGTCGCGGGAAATTGTTCTAAAGGTTGAACACATTCTGACTTACCAAACCGGAGCTGGCCCAAGCTTAAAACTTAGCATTCTCTAATTGGGAAGTTTTAGGGCAGGTGTACTGCAACACTTAAAGCCAGGGAAGGCAGCTTCGTTTTGGCTCTTCATCTGAAACCCAGTTCCTTGGCTGCTCTGAGCCTTGCTGTTGTCATCTGTAAAATGGGAATAAAACTAACAGTGCTTTTCTTGGGAGGGGTTTCTGTGCATGTGATGATGTGGTTAATATGTTACATGCTGGTCAGAGCCACAGGTCCAACACAGTACTAATTCCTTTTCCCGCTAGGTTTTCAAGGGTCCTTTCAATGTCCCAAGCTGGTGCCTTCACGGCACTGCATATATGCACACCTCTATTATTGCTCTTCATCAAATGGTGGTGTAGGGTTAGTATTCACTCTCTTCCAGGGCTCACAGGTAGAGACTAGCTCATTTGTGGTCGTATGCTCTCCACCCAGTGCCTGGGGGGTGAACATAGTAAATCTTTGTCAGATGCATAAGGTGTATCTGGATACGTAACTGAACTTGAGTTCAGGTGATTGGAGTTTCCATGGTTTCTGTACATGTGGCCCTCAACAAGGCCCCATTTTATCCCCTTCTTCCTGATGATCTGTGAGGTGGAAATAACAGATGCTTGATTTACTTCATGAGCCTGTTATGTAGACTTAGCCATATTCATTGACTGACTCTTGGATCCCTGGCTCTCTGATTGGCATGGGGAAGATACAGAGATATTGAAAGTATTCGAATTGACTTTTTTCATTCTTCCTCCCAGAATCTGCTGGAGTGGTAACCACTGAGGCCCGTTCGCCTCCGAAGACACCCAGCCTTCTGGCCTCTCTTGGCTCTTCACAGTCAGGGCCCCTTCCAGGCACCTCTGCAGACTCGAAATCCACAGTCACGTTCATGGGGCTGGGCCCAGCTTCTTCCACAATACCAGTCACTGACACCAAGTCGCCTCCAGCCCTCCCGGCCGAGACATCTGCCAAGCCCCAAGCCCCGTCTGCCCCGTCCCCCACCCCCAAGCAAGGTTTTCTGTTTGGAATGCTGAACACCCCACCTTCTAACCCTCCTTCCCCTGTCGCTCCTGCTGTGTCTTCATCGTCTCCCATGTTCAAGCCCATTTTTATGGTCCCACCTAAGAGTGAGAAGGAAGGCCCCGAGCCATCTAGCCCTTCAGTCACGACCACAGCATCCTCCACCTCCACTCTCCCCACAACTGCCAGCACCTCGGCCCTGACTTTCCCGCCTGTCTTTAGCAACACGGGGCTGCCTCCGTCTGTGCCATTGTCTGCTCCCTTCTTCAAGCAGACAACTACTCCAGCCACTGCTGCAGCCACAACTGCCCCTCTCTTCACTGGCCTGGCCACTGCCACCTCTACAGTGGCCTCTACCACCACAGCCAGTACATCTGCAGACTCTGCTTCGAAGCCTGCTTTTGGCTTTGGTGTAAACAGTGTGACCAGCACCATGAGCAGTGTAACTAGCACCACCACTTCCACTGCACAGCCTTTCCTCTTTGGGGCGCCCCCTGCCTCCAGTGCCAGCTTTACCCCAGCTATGGGCTCCATATTCCAATTTGGCAAGCCTCCTGCCATGCCCGTATCAACCACAGTCACCACCTTTGGCCAGTCCCTTCCCAGTGCTGTTCAGACAGCCACCAGCAGCAGCACTGCCGGCTTTAGTGGCTTTGGCAGCACCCTGACCACCTCAGCCCCGGCCACCACAAGCCAGCCTACGCTGACGTTCAGTAACACAACCACGCCAGCATTCAACATTCCCTTTGGCTCAAGCACCAAGCCTCCTCTCCCATCATATCCAGGAGCCAACCCCCAGCCCACATTTGGGGCCACCGATGGGCAGCCACAGGGGGCCACCAAGGCAGCCCTTGCCCCAAGCTTTGGCAGCTCTTTCACATTTGGAAACTCTGCAGCCCCGGCCCCAGCTGCGACTCCAGCGCCAACCCCAGCCCAGCCAGCCTTTGGCAGCACTGCACATTCAGCTTTTGGTGGTTTGAAAACCACAGCCTCTGCCTTTGGCACACCTGCCAGCACTCAGCCAGCCTTTGGTAGCACCACAGCTGTTTTCTCCTTTGGTGCAGCCACCACCTCTGGCTTTGGAGCTACAACACAAACCACCAGCAGTGGGACCAGTAGCTCAGTGTTTGGCAGCACAACTCCATCGCCCTTCACGTTTGGGGCATCAGCAGCCCCGGCTGGCAGTGGGGGCTTTGGGATCAACGTGGCTACCCCAGGCACCAGCTCCGCCTCTGGAGCCTTTAGCTTTGGAGCTGGACAGAGTGGGACCACAGGCACCACCACCCCCTTTGGTGGGAGCTTAAGTCAGAACACCCTGGGCACACCCAGCCAGAGTACACCCTTTGCCTTCAGTGTGCCCAGCCCACCTGAGAACAAACCTGTGTTTGGAGGTAAGTGTGGGAACATGCTTGGTCTGCTGGTCCAGGTGCTGTTTTAAGAGCAAGCACAGGCTCTGCTCTTAGTAAGCTTTTGCTGTGGCGATGAAAAGATAGACATTCAATATGGAAGTCAAATGTCAGCAGTCAATGTTTTGATAAGATGTGTAATTAATGACTATGGAGGAGCCATTGTGGATTAAGGTGGACAAGGAAGGCCTTTCTGAGGAAGTAAAAAAAGTTAAGCTGAGAGTGTGTTTGCGACAAAAGAGGGTTGGGAGTATGGGGAGAGGGAGGGAGGGAGAGAGCCCGAAAGAGCGAGCACACCTTGCAGGCACAGGAGACAGCTGGTGCAAAGAAAGGCCCAGGGGCAGAAGCAAGCTGGCGTGTGAAACGGCAGGTGTGGCTGGAGGGACAACAATGGAGGAAACGTGTACAGGAGCTGAGAGGCAGGTGGAGGTGAAGATCATTCGTGGTCAGCGCTTGGTGTTTGAGTTTTAAGTATTAAGGAAAATTATTGTAGAATTTTAAGCAAAAAAATGAAGTGGTCTTATCTATCATGTAGAAGATGAATTTTGACCCTTATAGCTTCTGTTTTCTTCATTAAATATGAGAGAAGATCTTCAGGAGTGAGTCAGGTTAAGATACATACAAAGAGGGCCCCTTGAAATAGCCATTTTGAACAGTGGGAAAAGGAACATAATTTAAGAAAGTGTGGTGGCTCACTCCTGTAATTCCAGGTGGGAGGATCACTTGAGCCCAGGAGTTCAAGGCTGCAATGACCTATGATGAGGCCACTGCACTCCAGCCTGGGTGAAAGAGTGAGACCCTGTCTTCAAAAAACAAGAAGGCGGCCGGGCATGGTGGCTCACGCCCCTGTATCCTAGCACTCTGGGAGGCCGAGGCGGGCGGATCGTTCTGAGCTCAGGAGTTCGAGACCAGCCTGAGCAAGAGCGAGACCCCGTCTCTACCAAAAAATGGAAAGAAATTAATTGGACAGCTAAAAATATATGTAGAAAAAATTAGCTGGGCATGGTGGCGCATGCCTGTGGTCCCAGCTACTCGGGAGGCTGAGACAGTAGGATTGCTTGAGCCCAGGAGTTTGAGGTTGCTGTGAGCTAGGCTGACGCCACGGCACTCGCCCCAGGCAAGAGAGTGAGACTCTGTCTCAAAAAAAAAAAAAGAAGAAAGTGTAATACATTTGCAAGGCAGTTTTGTGGATTGGAGAATTGTGATCACAGTGAGGCCAGTTTTTCCCCAGCAACATTCAGTTGTTGAGATGTAGACCTAAAATATGTAGAGATCTGGCAAAACCCAGCCTGTGTAAACCCAAGCAAGCATAGCAGGAGGCGTGGGGGACCAGAGGCCTTGATGAGGTTGAGGAAATGCGGGAGGTGGGAGAACTAGAAATAGTGAGCTGGAGGAAGAGTGCAATAGTGCTCGCAGTGAGATCTGGGAGCTGGAGCAGTTCCTGGTGGTGACAGGGTGACCATAGTGAGTGGCAGAGGTGGGGTAGAGGAAAAGCTCATCAAGGCAACAAGGTCAGAGGGTAGAGAGGATCATCAGTCATCCTTGCAGATGAAGTCACCAGGAGTGGGATGGGGAGGACAGTGAGCCAGGTGTCCTCCGTGAATGAAGGGGGGAATGGCCTGGCAGTTGAAAGATGGTGCTAACAAGGACAAAGGCGCTGACTGTAAGTCTGATGACCTGAACTTCAAACGAGTTAAGGTATTTGAGGAGGGAGATGCCTGTGCCTGCTTAGCCCTGGGACCTGTGCACGTGAGGGCGAAGAGCCTGGCCTGGAGGGGGAAAGCAGTGTGGGGACAGGGCAGCCAGAACTTGGTTGGAGCAGGTGAGGGGAAGGGAGTTTGCTGACGTTCTGGAGAGCACTGTGAGGTTAGGAGCCAACAGGGTGGACTGGTGCTGAGTTTGTGGCTTCTAGAGGGGAGGGCACAGGTAACCAGGGAGAAGCAGCATAACGAGATTAGTCCTGTTAGAAGGTAGGTGACCTGGTCAAGCTAGGAGGTGGGGGGCCCCTCTTCAATGTTGACCAAGGGAACTCCTTGGCCCAACTCTTTGTGTGACCAGGGGAAGGCAGCATGAGGGGCTTTCTCTCTGCTGCAGCACTGCCATTATAAGGCTGGGAGAAGGCAGTCGCCTGGAGCAGCAGGTGTTAAGACTAAATATGTTACGCAGTCACTTTTGGGGGAGAGAGCCAGGAACAGTCGGGGAGGACGGGAGTCGGGTATCCTATGGGAAATGCCCCTGCAGAGAACAAACCACCTACCTCGCTCCATTGCCTGCTTTGATATCCTCTGCTCACTGGCCTGGTGTCTACAGCTCTCTGGTTGTCTGCTCTCTTCATTCTAGGCACCTCCACTCCCACCTTTGGTCAGAACACCCCTACTCCTGGAGTGGGCACATCGGGCAGCACCCTCTCCTTCGGGGGGTCATCAACACCCACCCAAGGCTTTGTTGGAGTCGGACCCTTCGGTAAGAAGCAAGTCTCTGGCCAGCGGGACCTGCATATCTCCTGAGGCGGGTTGGGGTGGGTAGCAGTTTCCTGGCTCTCTGAGGCCCCATGAAGGTCAGGCTTGGTGTGGGAAAGATGCAGTTGGCCTGAGAGTCCACACAACCCAGGTAAGGGAGTCGGACGGCAGAGACCAGAGAGGAGCCGTCTTGGGTAGAAGTCCCCAGATCACTTGGGAAGCCAGGTAAAAATGGAGTCATGAACCTCATTCTTAGACCACCTCTGGGATTTTGCATTTTCAGTAGGCCCCTTCTGCACAGTGCTGGTGCAGCTTGGGAAGCACCCAGTATTCTGTTGGCCTAACTTTCAGAGATTAGAGTACCTGGAGATGTTTTCTCAGGTAGCAGCTGCCCTGATGAGATCTTGTTGAATCTTTCCAGGATCAGCGGCCCCTTCGTTTTCCATTGGTGCGGGATCCAAGACCCCAGGGGCTCGACAGCGACTGCAGGCCCGAAGGCAGCACACCCGCAAAAAATAGCCTTTGTCCCTTGACCCTGTTCCCCCCACCCCTTTCCCAAATCTGGACCTTGGCACCTGCTAGGAAGAGCCTTTGACCTTGAGTTCCATAAAGCAAATCTGCCCCAGATCTCTGGCTTCAGCCACCAGCAGGGTAGTGGTGGCCCTGGTGCCCTTTGCCTGTTCCTGGAGGAAGCACCAGCCTCAGGGAGGGGGAGGCCGGGTCTGGCAGGGCAGAGCCCAAAACCTTTACTTGAACAGTCCCGCTGGTGAGGCTGGAGAACTAAGGAAACATCTGTACATACCGTTCACTCGCTTCCCTGCCTCTTGCTGTGTGTGACCGTAGTCAGGCGGCCTCCCTTTCCGCCTTGGCCTGAGAGCCACCTTTGCTGGAGGGTGTAAGCTGCAGCCCGCTTGGATCTCTGGTGTGCATTCGATGGGATCGGGGGAAATCGATTATCCCTAAAGCTTTTCCTTGCTTGGCTTGGCTATAAAAAGTGGTTCTCCTCCTCGGGTCCCTTTAGGGGACTCTTTCCCCATTTCTTGCTGCTTTGTCCCTCACTGGTTCCTTGCAGGATTTAATCCTTTTTAAATGATCTTGAATCTAGCTTTGCCTTGGAGACCCCAGTGGGTGCTGCTCCTGCCGTTTTCCTCCTGCCAGTTCTGAGTCAATGTTTCATCTCCAGTCCTCTCTGCCAGTTTGGCCCCTAAAAGCTTGGTGGCTCAAGACTGTTAGCCTGGCAGAGCCAGGGGTGAGATACCTCGCTCCAGGAGGGAAAAGCTCTTGGAGCAGGCAGGACGCCCACCGCTGCTTTCAGCTCCCTCCTCCCCCCACACCCATTGGCCTCATCGGGCCCTTGTCTGCCTCTCCGGGATTGTATGTTTCGAGCCTTGTCCTGTGTTACTGTCTGATGCTCACGTCTATCGCTCTTTGAATCGAGTTTGGAGGAAGAATTGAATTGTATGAGTGGCGGCATGTTGGTAGTGCCGGACTTAACTGTTTCAAGTTTTCTGGGGCCTAGCTAATTGAATGTGGAAAGTAGCACCACTTTATGGCTACAAGTGCTGACTCCTGAATTTTCAAATGGTGTTTTGACTTTAAGGGCTGGCAGCCCAGGAGGGTGGGGCCCGGGGGAAGCAAGACCTTTCCTCTGTATCTCTCCTTACCTACCTGACCTCACTGGAGGCTGCATCACCCATAACATCTGTTAGGAAACCTAATTAATGACCCATACTTTACTACTTTGAGGTCGTATCTTAGTTATTTTTCCCTGTCAGGGCCCTTGCCAATCCATCATCCATCCTCTTTTCTTCCTTTGTTCTACAACCACACACCCCAGGCCCAAGAGCCTTGCTGCCATGCCCATCCTCTTCGGGAGAAGTATGAATGCGTGTGTCTAAATTAAAAGAAAAAATATTTAAACATTTTTTAACAAAATAAAAATTTATTTTTGTATTTAAGCTAAATTGCCTTTTAAATTCCTTCAAGCTTGGTTCATCGAGGTGGTTAAGTATAAACGCTATTGACTAGAAATTAGCTGTATAGTAAGTTATGCCTGTGTGAAGAGGAGGCTCATGTGCTGTCCCAGGCAGCTTTCCTGAGGGACTAGAGCTCCTTCTGGACACGTTATATAAAACGTAATTCTTATTTTATAAATAATGTGATGTAGATGTAACTCGTCCCCCTCCCCCTTTAGTGACTGAGGTTGAATGTTTTGTGGCTGGGGACTGCTCCTCCCCACCCCTCAGAAGAGCTCTGAAGTCCGACATGTTAATACTTGGCTGCGTGTGGAGCTGAGGAAGGAGCCTGAACCTCAAGTCCCAAATACCTGTTAGGATTGGAGGGGTGGGGGTGGGGCGCGGGTATAGAGATCAAGCTTCTACCTATACCTTACGTAAGGTAGATCCTCTTAGTTTAAGTACTCTGAGCTAGTTTACCTCAGTTCCACAGGCAGGACAGTTGGCCCAGGAACCCCTGAAGGAGGGCGTCCTGGCACAGCGTGAGTGAGAGTGTGTATGTGTACGCGCACTGGACAGGAACGGGAGGCTGGGACTTTCCATTACAAATAAAGACTTAATTCCTGTTGAGTCTAGTTGGAGTTTTTAGTATGAATGTGAGATTTTTTTTTTCCTGCTTCTGTCATTAAGAATAAAAAAAAAACTGTGATCTATCATGGGCCATGTTCTGCTTTTTATTTTTGTGGGCAGCACTTCTCTCACCAGCAAAAACACAGGCCAGGGAGAGGGACCCAAAGGACTGGGAAATCCACTCTGTCTTTCCAGCTGCAGAAACAGGGTCACCAGTTAACTTCCTACAGGAGTAAAAATAACCTTTCAAAACCCAAACTGCTGCCTGGGTATGAGGGTCCGTGGGTTCTCAGTAGAGAGGCGGACTGGCATCTTCATCTCCTACCAGGAAAAAGTCAAAGGCTTTGAGCACCTGCTACGTGCCAGGCAATGTGCTAGCACCAGCCGCCGCTTTCCGCCGTCTTTTCTTTCTCTTTGGGGCCGGGCTAGGCATAAGTTCCGGTGCCAGTGCTTCAGCCTGTGAGACTGAGCTAGAAGAAAAGTATAGAAGTTAGATGTGCCCCAATTATCCAACATCTTCCAACAGGCCCCCCGCTCAACTCACCTTGGCACCTCTACCCGTTCAATGACGGCAATGAAGAAGCCACCAGTGAGTGTGGTTTCCGGGGAGGCCCGGAGGCAGTGCTCGGCACCTGGGAAAGTGCTAAGGCCTCGGTGGGGCCAGGAGGGCAGGACAGGAACTAGCCTGGGAGAAGAAACAGCACAGACTCTGGGTAAAAGAGAACAGCTCAGCCCCCCTCCTTAAGACCCTGGTGGACACCCGTTACCTGAAGGCCCCTGGGTTCTGCTGCAGGGCACCTTGCACCACATCTTCGTTCTCCTCTTGGCAAAGGGAACATGTGGAATAGACGAGGCGCTGCAAGGAGGGGAAAGTGAGCGCGTGGCATAGAGCTCGCTGCTGGAACCCTGCCAGGGCGCGCAAGCGTTCCTTGCTAGGTGTGCCTGCCCCTGGCTCCTCCAGCTGTCTGGTCAACATACCTAAGGAGAAGAGTGTTTTTCTTACATAGCTTTACAACCTGCCTTATTTTGTACTGAAGTCCTCACTTTATAGAACTGAACTTTTAGCCTAGGCTCCCAACACCATTAAAGAGCAGACAAAGACCAAAATGAACTACTGCTACTTGAGCTCTAGACTACTCTGGACCTGCGAGTCCCTCGGCCACACTTTGTCCCCATCTCACCAGAGCCACTACACGAAGGATCCAGCAGGATGTAGCGGACCTGACAATAACGCGGGTCTGAGGGTGAGACTGTCAGGAAGTCCTCCTCGGCCAGCTCACAGCAAGACACTCCAGCCCGGGCCAGCAGAGTAGCCATAGATGCCAGCCGCTTGGCATCCAGGTCAAAGGCAAAGATCTTCCTGGGGCAGAGAGCACAGCGGGGGTAAGGTGAGAATTTATGCAGCACTAAGGGCCTATAGCTCTGACATATACAACAATAACATGTATGTTAAAGTCAGGCCACAGAAATAATATTTATTAAATAAATGGCCTACGAGGGTCCAGATCAGAGGTAACTGACTTGGGGGTTCTGCCCCAAGGGCTAAGGCATCTACATCTCACACCTGCAACCCACTGGGAACCTTAGCATGGGGCTAATACCACGAACTGCTCTAGGTTCAGCAGGAAATAGTTAAGGGAAGGCATCCTTTCAGCCTTCATGACCTATTGCAGAATACAGATCAGACCCCATCCCCTTCTGGACCGTGGCACTCACCCTTGGTTCTTCAGAAGAGCAGCCAAGTGACTGGTCTTATTGCCTGGGGCAGCACATGCATCAATGACATGGGAGCCTGGTGGAGCGGCCAGCAGCATGGCTGGGAGACAGCTGGCCTGGCAGGGCACAGGAGTCAGGTGAACACAGACCCCAGGCTGGTTTATCCCCCATCCCCCCTTGCTCCCCTCATCTTCCCTAACCTTGTCTTGTAGAATGAAGTGACCAGCTTGGTACAGTGGATGTTCATGCAGATCTGTCTGGGCAGGAAACACGAGCAGCTCTGGCAACAAGGGATCCAGAAGAAAATGCTTCCCTTTGAGGACCCTTAAGTCATCAAGGCTGCCAGGGAATAAAAACCATTAATTCAACATTTCCTGAATTCCTCCATGCCAGGCCCCATTTTAACTGTTTTTCATGCAACAAATATTTGAAATGGCTATGAAGAAATAAAACAGTGATAAGACAGAGGCAGCAGAATCAGCAGTTAAGAGAATGGGTTCTCAGGCCAGACTGACTAGGTTCACGACCCCACCTCTACCACCTACCAGCAGTGAGCATGGGCAAGTGATTTAATCTCCAGCCCTAATCTGCACTTTTGTAAAATGGTAGGTGTGAGGATTAAATAAGTTAATAAACTCAAAATACTTGGCACAAACTAAGCACTCAATAAATGTTAGCAATTACTGTTCAAGCACAGCTTTGGGGAAAGGTTACTTTATAGGGGTGCAGGGGGAGGTAAGAGCTGAGCTGATTCCTGATGGGTGAGGAGTTGGTAATACAAGGAGCTTAGGTTAAAGTGACAGTCACTGTAACTCTGCAAAGGAGTACTGTCCATTCCACCTGACCAACATAGAAAGAGGCTGAGAGAGTCACATGCCTCAGTTCAGAAAGCTATCAAGTGGCAGAGCTGGAATTCAAACCCAACAAAGCCATTCTCTACTATTCCACCCTGGTCTCCAGGTAACATGCTAGAGGCAGAAGAAAGAATATCTAAAACAGATTGGGGAAAAGGGAGCGCAGAGGCACCTTTCAGGGCTGGCAAAGGACAAAACAGGAGGTAGGTGTGAGTCCAGTGGAAGTGGGGAAACGTCAGGGGAGGGACCAGCAACTGTGCCTGAATACCCAGTGCACGGAGCACCATGCAGACAGGCCTGGAGAGGAGGCAGGAGGAACAGCACAATGGAGAGGCATGAAAGGGTTTCAGCAGAGGAGTAATGGTATCAGATCTGGTTTCAGATCTTTCTGCAGCCAACTACAAGGAGGAAAATGCAGCGAGATAGTCTGGAAGTAGGGAGGCCAGTCTAGGGGGTTCTTTTACCCACCCTGATAGGAACTGATGAGTGCCTAAACCTAGGCAATGTCCAAGAGGATGAAAAGAAAAAACTGGATTTGAGAACAATGCTAAAGGTAGAGCAGTAAATGGAGGGAGAGAAGAGAGGCATCTAGGATGATGCAGTTTCTGGCTTGACTAAATGGGTGGATGATGGTGATATTTGTTATGTTAAAATAGGGATGCATGAGTTGTAAAGTTTAAAATGGAAAGCCGGCATGGTGGCTCATGCCTGTAATCCTAGCACTCTGGGAGGCCGAGGCGGGCGGATTGTTTGAGCTCAGGAGTTCAAGACCAGCCTGAGCAAGAGCGAGACCCCGTCTCTTCTAAAAATAGAAAGAAATTAGCCGGACAACTAAAAATAGAAAAAATTAGCCGGCCATAGTGGCGCGTGCCTGTAGTCCCAGCTACTCAGGAGGCTGAGGCAGGAGGATCGCTTGAGCCCAGGAGTTTGAGGTTGCTGTGAGCTAGGCTGATGTCATAGCACTCTAGCCCTGGCAACAGAGACTCTTGTCTCAAAAAAATAAAAAAAATAAAATGGAAGATGATTGAATTCAATTTGACATATGCAGCGATTGTGGTACCTGTGGGGCAGATATATGAACTTGAGGAGGTAGGAGTACAAGAGAAGTGTATACTGGGAGACAGAATCATCAGCGGGGAGGTAGGGGTTAAAGCTAGAGACAAAAACTGAAGAATACTAATGAAGAATGTAGGATGGGACTCCCGGGAGTATCAATGTTTAAAGGGATGAGAGGAAGACAGGCCTTGGAAGGAGATGGAGAAACTGCTGGAAAGGTAGGTAGGAAGAAAACCCACAGAGTATAGTCACAACCACCCAGTCTCTCTTCCCAGTGCCCCCAGACACCTCCCTAGATGAGGGCAGCCAGGCTGGGATCTAAGCTCTCACCTGGAAGCCCGACCCTGGTAGGAGAAACCTCGTCTCTTGAAATAATCAACTACATCATCACAGCAGGTCTTGAGAGTGTTCACTCGCACAAATCGAGGCACCTGAGAGGCTAAGAAGCAATCAGTGGTGAGCGGGCAGGAGCATGGCCCCCTCCTCTGCCCTACCCCCACAACTCCTTCCAGCTCACCTGAGCCAGGCCTGGATTCCACTTCCAGCAAGTCCTCATTCCGGCTCACACCCCGATGAACCTTGAGCCTGGCTAACTCAGCCTTGAGCCTTGCCTGGTGCCGGCTCAGCATAGGCTTCCATCGGCCTCCACCCCCTCGAAAGCCCTTTCCCAACAACAACTCATATACTAGCACCTGGGGATGGGCAAACAAAGAACAACAAAAAATCCAAGCATTAATGCCTTAGAACTCTACGGAGTGTTGGAGCTGGAAGAGCTAAACACACCACGTGTCCAGACGGTTACAGGTAAAGGTGGGGTACCTTATCCAGGATCGCACAAGTAATTGAGGACAGATAGAGGATTGGTACCTAGCATCTTCTCAGTCCTGGACCCTTTCCCCATGGATACTCACCAGCGGAGCTGTGGACCCCAACTCCGCCTCCTTGCCAAAATTACCCTTCCGTTTTCTTAGTCTGTGCCAGCGCTACTTTGTACTTCTGTTCCTACTTAATCCTTCACACATACATCGAAATTAGAGCATTTTCACACCTTCTCAATTCGTAACCCAATGAGGGGCTGCTCGATTTCTGATGAGCGACTAGTTCCAATCACGCCGTGCGTGGCAGCTGAGTTGTGACCAGGTTACAGACCCCCTAACCCTCATGGCTCTCTCCCTGGCCCCACACCACCCTCCGCCTGTCACCTTAGCCAGGTGCGGCCGCAGCTTCTTTTCGGCGCGGAGGAGACCGGCGCTGGCGATCACGGCGTCCAGCACGGCGGAGTAGCGCTGCGTCTCGCACACCAGCGCGTACAGCTGCTTCACGTTCTGCGAGTGGCCCAGGGGAGACACGCTGTGCCGGGGGGCAGCGCTGACCCCCGCGCCAAGCCTCGCCACCCGCTCCCCGCCCAGATCGGCCTTGCCCCTCTCTACCCCCCACGGCCTGCGCCTGGCCCCGCTACCTGGAAGCCGCTGGAGTACACCAGCCCCTTGATGGAGCCCTGGCGGCTCTCCACGCCCGCCAGCACGGCCGCCGCAGCCGCGTACAGCGCCATATTCCCATGCACCTTTACGGCTCAGTCGCAAATCACGCCTGGCTCTGCGCTCGGCTGGACTTCCGGGGTCAAAGGTCACGGACCTTTCGGGACCGGAACCCCAGTCCCCGTCTAAGTACTCCAGAGGTGTGTATCGGTTTATACAGCAGCCATGGTAAGGAGTGCGGCTTTGGGAGCCCATTTCGCCACTTTTTCACTAGTTTTTCTGTTTCTATTTTCAATTTTGCGAATTTGATGGGCAAATAATGGGATGTTACTGCCGTTTTCATTTAATTTTCGTTATTGAGGTTGAATACCCTCACAATTATTGGTCATATGCTATGTTATCACATATTAATGTCTTTTGCTCAGTTTTCTACCGTCTGTCCCTTAGTGCCCATTAGGTATTAACAACATATACCTCTTGTCTTAGGTATTGAGGTTTTTCCGGTTCATTGTTGCCTTTTCATGTGGCTTACGGTTGTTGTGGACATCTTTTCTTTTATGGTGTGTGCCTTTGGTGTCATGCTTGGAAGTCCTTTCACACCCCTACAATATAGAAATCACTTATGGCTTTTTTTTTTCCCTCCACAAACCTTTAATCCATTTAGAGTTCATTTTGGCATATGAGGTAAGGAAGGGCTCTAACTTTGTTTCCCTATGGCTTGCCTTTGTCCATGGCTTGCAGTGATTCATTTGTAGGATCGTTTTCCCCAGCCTGAGCTCTGGGAGGACAGGAATTGAATGGTAGTTGTCTCTGTGTCCCCAATACCTGTTGTGGTACATAATAGGTTTATTGAACAAAATGAATAAACCCGGTATACATGTATCTCAAGCATTCAGGTAGACAGGCACTCATGAAATGGAATATCCCAGCCTGCCCTGCTGGGATTGCTAACAGCACATCAGCAAACATTTTCCCAGAGGATTGACTCTAGTCTACATTAAAATTACTGAGTTGTTTAAAGCTTTAACCAACTCCTCTATCTCTAGGGGGGATTTTTACTTTTTTTTTTTTATTTGAGACAGAGTCTTACTCTGTTGCCTGGACTAGAGTGCCATGGCATCAGCCTAGCTCACAGCAACCTCAAATTCCTGGGCTCAAGCAATCCTTCTGCCTCAGCCTCCCAAGCAGCTGGGACTACAGGCAAGTGCCACCAAGCCCGGCTAATTTTTTCTATTTTCATTAGAGACGGAGTCTCACTCTTACTCAGGCTGGTCTTGAACTCCTGAGCTCAAGTGATCCTTCTGCCCCAGCCTCCCAAAGTGCTAGGATTACAGGCATGAGCCACAGCGCCCAGCCTAGGTTAATCAGTGATCTTTTAGTAGACCCTCCCCCATCAAATCCCATCACCTGTTTTATTTTCCTCATAGCATATTTTCCATATATGGTAATCTTATTTATGGTTTGTCATCTGTCTTCCCAACTCACTCTATGCAGGCAAAGACTTTGTCTGTCTTGACACGAATCTATCCCTACCTTCTAGACCAGTGTCTTTCTCACAATAAGGACCTAGTATAATAATATACTCTAGTTTCTCTTCGGATCATATAAATCTTTTGCCTTTTGCTACACATTTCTTTGGAGAGGAATAATTCTGAGTCTTAACCCATTTTTTTTGAGGCCCTGTGTCTGCAGTGCTAGTAAAAAAGAAAGAAGAAGAAGAATAAAAGGACCTATTATAATTAATAACTGTTGAAGGAGTGAATGACTGAATGAGCACAAATTGATGTGATGTTGGATGACCAGCTGTGCTGGAGTTGACCCATCCTGAAAGAGTCATCCCTCCTGCAGGTGAATGGGTAACAGGTATGGGTAGAAGTGGACTGGGGCCAAAGCTTGTTAGCTTGTTTAAATACGATTGCATGTGAAAGAGAAAGGCTAACCTATCAGCTCTCTAGCAGGGTCTAGAAACTCTTGGCCACATATCCAGAGGTGACCTCCAAATTGGGTCAGGACCCTTTTGGTAGCAAGTGACAAAAACCCAGCTAATTAAAGCAAACAAAAGAGGAAGGAGGGTTATTTACTTACACAAGTAGGAAGTCCAAGAGGTTGGGGGATCAAGGTACTGATTTCAGGCATGGCTGGATCTAGGGGCTCAAATGTTATCAGCAAGCTTACAAATTAGAACCTGAACTTGTTCAGTTTTGTGTGTCTATGTTTATTGTCTTATCTTCCTCTGCCATGTGTCCTCTGAAGGCTCCATTCTTAGACAGGTGCTTTCTGTGTAATGACAGAGAAAGTCCCAGCAGCTCAAAGTAGATGTGGTCCACAATGCCTGTCCCGTCTCTCCACCAGCACCCACATCAGTCTCAGAGCTAGGACTTGGACCGTCCAGGCTGAGATCATGTGGCTCAGGAGGAACAGCATGTGTAAGGGCCCTAAAGCAAGAAAGCAGCTGGGGTCTTTGGGTACCTGAAATGGACCCATATGGCCAGATGCAGTAAGTAATGTGGGTATGGTCCAGGGCCTCAAAAGCCACAATAAGGATTTCAGTCTTGAGAGAAATGGGAGTCTATGGAAGGGTTTTAAGTGGAGGAATGATGTATTCAAATTTACTTCTTTAAAAGAGCAGTCTGGCTACAGTGTGGGCATACAACTGAGGGTACAGAGTCGAGGCAGGGAGATCAGTAGAGATCATGACAGTCACCTAGGCGAGGAGTGCTGGCCTGGACTGAGTTGGTGGCAGTGGAGTTCAGTTAACGTTGGCAGTACAACTGCTGTCTAAGAGTTAGATCCACAGAACTTGGTCAGGAGGAGGGACAGGTCAAGAATAACTCACAGGTTTCCTATCTGGGCAATTGACACAGTGGTGGCGTGCCCCTTGGGAGGATGGGGAAGCCTGGTATGGTAAGCTAAGTCATGGCCACCCAGAGGTGGCAGGTCCTAATTGCTGGTGCCTGGAAACATTACTTTTTATGGAAAATATTTTTGTAGATGTGTTTAAGTGAAGGATTTTGAGATAAGGAGATTATCCTGGGTTATCTGGGTGGGCCCTAAATAGCAGTATAAGTGTCCTTATGAGAGAGAGGCAGAGGTAGAGTAGACCAACGCATACAGGAGCGGAGAAGGCCATGTGGAAATGGAGGCAGAGACTGGAATGATGTGGCCACAAGCCAAGGAGCACTGAGGAGTGTCAGCGTCCACCTGATTGTAGGAGGAAAGGAAAAGATTTTCCCCGATGGTCTCCAGGGGCGGTCATGGCCCCACCGGCATCTTGATTTTAGACTTCTGGACTCCAGAACTGTAAGAGAATACGTTTCTGTTGTTTTAAGCCACGAAGTTTGTGGTAATTTGTTATGGTGGCCACAGGAAACCTCAGCTACATGTTAAGTTTGGGGGATGGGGCCGTAAGAAGATCATGACATGCCTTTGACATCCAAGGGGCTGCCAAGTGGCTGGAGGGATCTGCACCATAAGGACAGGTCTACTGGAGAGTAAACTGCCCAGTCATCCCTGTAGAAGTGACAACTGACGCCGTGGGTGTGGATGTGTAGACAACAGAAAGAGGAGCTATGGGGCCCTCATTCTTTTGAGCAGCCAGGAGGGAGGATGAATCCCTGAAGGAGACCCGGAAGAGGCAGCAGGAGGGCCATGTGGAAGCCAAGGGCTGCTGTTGCCACCTGCCCAGGTGCCCTCAGACCCTCTTACCTGGTGGCACACACCTGTAATCCCAGCCCAGTGTGACTTCCAGTGGCCAGAACCAGCACCTCGGTCAGAGGGATTCCCCCCTGCTGCTTCCAGAACCCACTCTGCCTGTGGGCACAGAGTCAGAAGGGCACAGGAATTACTGTCCCCCGACGGGCATTCGTTAAGCAGTGACTGACAGGTGCGGAGGTACAGATACTCGGCTCTCTCATTCACTGCTGAGAAGGATCCCCAGTCCCCGTGGGATGAAGCTCCAGCGCCTGCCGCGGGGGCTGGTTCCATAATGCTCCTCTCTGGGCTGCCTCTCTTTCCCAGTGTCACCCGCCCACTTAACTCCCAAACAAACTTCATGGGCTGGAATGTTCCTCCCAGTCTGTTTCTCAGGGAACACAAGTGAGGCAGAAATGTTTCAGGAAGCAGGAAGGAAGCAAAAGCGGCAGTGATGGAGGGTCGAGGGAGATGAGATGCAGAACTGTCCATTGGATTTAGTGACTTAGGTATCTGCCAGGCCTCTTCTGTCCCACAGATATCAGCCATCCCACAGGGGAGGGTGGAGTGCCCATTTTAGGGTGTCACTACCACCAGCAGGAAGAAGCAGTTGGGAGAACAGGGATGAGACTGGAGTATTTATGTCCTTGGCCAGGACGCTCAATTATGACCATTTCAGGCGTCACCCAGGAAGAAGTCGTGATTCCATTGTGATGATCTGAGAGGTTACCAAGTTGATGATTAAAAAAGCATTATGGACGAAGGGGCCAACAGCAGAAACAAAGCGGAATACATTCAAAATTGTTATTGTCGGGCTCATACCTATGATCCCAGCACTTTGGGAGGCTGAGGCAGGAGGACCGCTCGAGACCAGCCATGGCAACATAGTGAGACCCCATTTCCACAAAAAATAAAAATAAAAACCCCCACCAACAAATTGTTACCACATGATGCTTCTAAGCCTAAAGTGGCAGCCCTGTTGTGTCTGCACTTGTTAGTAACTAAAACTCATGGCTGCGACCAGAGAGGGTGGCGGTGCTGAGCCTGTTTGAGATGTTTGCCCCTCAGAGAGGCGTGTGACCCTCCTTACCCAGTGCCTGCAGCTCAGCTCAGGCAGCATTTCAAATATTTCTCCTTTGCGTGGCAATGGCCTCTCTGCAGGACCTTGCCCATCCGTGACCCCTCTGCTGCATAGCGACTCTTCAGTCACTGGCTTTTTGTTATCTCTCATCTTCTAAAGTGGCGCATTGTGGTCCCCACTTACCCAGTGTGACTGAAATGTGGCCATTCCAAATTGAATGTGCCACACATGTAAAACATACCCTGAATTTTGAAGACTGGGCATGAAAAAAGTTATAAAATGTAAAATATCACATTAATAATTGGATTGATTGTATGTTGAAATGTATATTTTTGATATATTGGGGTAAACTAGATATATTAAAATATTTATTGTT